ACTATGTATGTCCCTCTCCTTCTACTGCTCGAAGTTGGCCGAAGCTCCGAGCGCACACGTACACAGCTGTTCGCCTGTGTGCGTATCCCCTCCACCTGCTGCTGCATGCTGCAAAAGTCCGCGAACTGGCATCTCTGCGTGCGGCGGCGGGCCGCCGGCCCAAGCTTAAGGCCGTCTCACCGCTGCACGGCGTGTTCATAAAGTAGTGTGCACCACAAAAAGTTTTAGGGTTTAAAAAGATCTATTTATTAGCTTTATCAATTTGACCTGGAATGATGTCGCCGAGGTCAGGACAAGGTCATCTGAAATGGTTTAAGAGGGACCCTTCATCTTTTATTACGTATTCTTATGGTTTTTGTTGAAACTTTTACAACCGTTAAACTTTTATCTACTTTGGGTCAGCCGTTTCAAAGTTATCGAGTATTTATAGTAAGATATCAGTGATTTTATATCATTCAAACACAAAAACTGTTCATTTTTTGCTGTAAGTTTTACATGTTTTATTTAACAGGTCATAAACTACAACTTATAAGAAAATCAGCTGATTTAACCAAAATCTAAATTTACATAGAATTAGTGCGGTGTCCTTTGAATCACAGCCTTTGATGTCAGATTATCAAAACTTTACACACAAACAGTGTTGCTTAAATGATTTAAATGAGTAACAGCAGTTAAATATATGAAACTTTTTTTTAGAGCTAACGGCGTGGATGTAGAAAGGTATGTGTAATAGCTTCTTTTTTGTGTTAGGATTGATTTTATAATTGTTTTATTTTCAAAGGTTTGTTTGTTTCTTTTATACTTGCTCCCGGCGCATCAAATTTGATTGCGGGAACATAATGTATAGCAGTCACCTTAGCGGTCACACATATAAATACATGCTTTTCAAGCACAAATGCATTAATATATATGCATATGCATCTATTATATATCTATGCACATTAAAAAGTTATCTATCTCTGGCCACTATAGTGGCCATTGTAATCTTCTAAAGGTTAACAAAACTATCATCAGTTTAGTCGATCTATCAACGTGATAAGTAGCGCACTCATATTTTACGGATATCTGAAATGATTACAAGATTTATAAAATGTTTAGCGGTTATTTTGCGATATATTAGTGTAGAAGGGTTATAAAGAATGGAGGATATAACAAAAGAAGAGAGTCAATAAAGGTCGATTTTGGGTCCAGAGCTCGCACTTTTTTAATTGACATGTGTAAATACGGCTTTTGTGAACTAGGTGCAGGTTGTTTTGCAATAATAAAGTGTAGTTTAATTACCAAAACGTTTCAACCTTTATTCGGGTCTTCTTCAGTTGAATGCTATTACATACAATAAAAAGTTTACAAGCATATCTAATAATAAGAAACTGGTTTATTAGTAATAGTTACTTACTAATATAGTTAACACTAAGTAATAGTTACTTACTAATATAGTTAACACTATCTATATATCAAATTGAGATTTATTTTGGATTTTATTGATAATTGGTAAATATACATATGTTATTGAGTAATTCAGTGTCAGTCATAATGTTTAAACTGTTTTTTTGTAGTTTGATCTGTAACATCTCTGAAGTTAGACGTTTATGGTAATTTGGCTTGATATCCAATATCTTTACATTGCCAAAATTAAAATTGTGTCCATGGTCAAAAAAGTGTTTCGCTATTACAGATGTTTCAATCATGCCTTTAGTTACGTATTTAAGATGTTCTTTAACTCTTGTATTAAGCTGTCTCTTTTATCCTATGTATTTGTTGTTACAATCGTTGCACAAGTGCAATACACGGCGCGGGCGTCTTTATGTTTTTGAATTGGAATATTGTCTTTGTGGGTTTTTATCAATTTAGATAATGTATGTAAGTTTTTGTAAGTTAATTTTAGATTTTCGTCTATGGTAGTTTTGACTATGATTAATTATGGTTTTGATTATATTTAATTATATTTATGTAATTAGTGATAATTAGTGTGTATAGAACTAGGAAATATTGAGATAATTTTTGTTGATTTTCTGTTATATTTAATTGTCTTAAGTGATTGTTTAATTTCGTACGAAATAATGTTTTTCTTCTTGTGTTAATTTTGTTAAATATTAAATTAGTAGGGTAATTGTTATTTATAAGGGTGTTTATACAAAATATTAAATTTGTCTCATGGAATTTGAGGTGTGAAAGTAATACAATATATAGATCCTAACAAATATATAGATCCTATTTTGTGAGTATATCGTGGGGCTATGTGGTATGTAATTTAAATATCTCCCAGAGTATGTTGGTTTATGGTACCAATCACAAACCAACTCGTTATTTTCTCTGGTGATGCTGATATTCAAGAAGTTGAGAACGTCGTTTTTTGCATCTCGCATGTAAATTGCAGTCTTTAGCGGTATGAATTGAACGAGTTAAGCACCTCGTTTATTTTTTCACTAGGATGGCCATCGCTATGTTGTCAACATATCTAAAGTAGAACGTTATTTTGAATTTCAGTGTATCTAAAGCTTTAAGTTCTTGTAGAGTGATGTTAGCTATGATGAGTGAAAGTGGAGATTCCATCAGAGTACCATAAGTTTTAAATTAATAATAAACAAGAAGAAGATTCTTCGGGCTCCGGAATTTTTAAACAAATGAATGAAATAAATTCGGTTGTAGGAGCCGTTTGCAGGATGTTATGCAGAGAATGTGCTTGAAAATATATATATGTATACACATATATACGTCGAAATAATTTTTTTCCTCCATATAGGATGCTGGATTTGCATCACGTATATATGAAGGACCCCGAATATCCCCCTAAATAATTTTAAAATATTGCAAAAAAACTCCTCAGCCAGGAGTCGAACTTGGAATCTTCGGCTACCATAAGTTGGTAAATTTGGTTGTCAAATGTAAAATATATTGACGACAGAACGAAACGTAGTGCTGATAAAAACTCTTGTTCAGGTATTTTTGTGTTTAAACGGATGTGATTTTATCTACTCGATGTACTTTGAAGAGCTAGATCAATAAGGACATTGGTAAACAACACACAACGTCTAACGAACAAAAAGTGTAATTTTTATCTAATTTTTGACCAGAAAGTATATTGTAAAGATGAAAGCTGTCTTTGGTATTAAAGGGGGAGTTGGGGATGTTTTGATAAATTATTTTGTGTAAATATAAGGCAAAGTGATGTAATGGACTGTGAACGGTAGAAACTATGATATGATAATGACAATTTTCTTTATGTATTTTCGGAACTTCGTAAACGCGTAGTAGTGAATCATTAGATTGAAGATAGTATTTGGTGTTTTTTTGGATGAATCCTTTGGTAAGCCATCTGTTTAAGATGTCTTTTAAATTATTTTTAATTTTTTTATAAGATTGTTTAATATCTGTATGTATGTATTAGTGTTTGATAACATATTATTAATTTTATCAATGTATTTATTTTTAAGAATGGTGACCGTTAAGTTGCTTTTATCTGCCCTGGTAAGAATGATGTTCGGATTATTGGATAAAAATTTTGATGTTAAATTGACTTTGTTTAGGAATGTAGGTTCAATGCTTGTGTTATGTTTGTTGTTATTAAGGAAGTGGTTTAAATATGTATAAATTTTAGAACATATATTGGTTTTGTCACGGGGTTTCATTTCCTTAAAATTATTTTCCGTATCTTTTATAGTTTCCAAAATGATTTTATCTTTGATCTGTTCAATAGAGACGGAGAATCTCTCACCGTATTAGACTAATTCTGATATATCTCGAGAAATTGTTTGGTTTGTTAGGTTAATTGGTTTATGAACTTAATTATGGTGTAATTTGTTTAGTGAGGAGTTATTTATGGATATACTTTCTGGGTTTATAGATATTTTAAATGTGTTTTTTGGATTGTTCGGTACATAAGAGGCTTGATTGAAACTGAATTCAAGATCTTTGTGAAAAATGGTTTTTCTATTGGTGTTATGAATGTGGTGGGTTTAATTATTGATTTTCTGAGTGTTTCTTTTTAATATCAAAAATAACAAAGATACCACAAAACTAGCAATAAAAACGCAGCATCCTGCTATTTTTGCACCGCTGTTGCATTCATAATACTAGTTAACTATTGGATTTGGTCCAAAAATTGTCTCAATCCATAAATTGTATATTTTAGAAGGTGAGTAGCGGGATTAAATCCGTACTCTAATTATGCTTTTGTCTTGTTTGTAAAAAAACAGGATATAGTCCGTCATCAAACATGTGTCCTTTAGTGTACGATTACTTACTTTAATTGATATATTCCTAATGTAATATATCGCAACTCATCAAATGTCAATTTTGGAAAATCAGGTATTGACTTTTGTGTTATGGGAGCCTATTTTTCGTTTTGTCCATACTTCTTTCTGTCCTGTTTTTAAAGGCAATTTGGCTTTGAAACTAGTTGCAGTATTTTCTGAGCGATTTTATCATTGTGATTGTCATGGATTCTCGGTGGCCGGAAAGCGTTACAAAAGCGCACAAACTATTCTGATGTAATCACTGATAAGGGATCTGACTGTTGGGGAAGACATCACACACCCACACACACACACACATACACGCACGTACGCGCGCGCGCACACACACACACACACACGCACACACAGCTTTCTGTTTTGATTGCTTACTCACTTTACTTTGATAACAAGTCTTGACTCGTTCGCTTCAGTCGAAGAATGTTGCAATCTTTTCTGAAAAAAATGAAACATCTTGGAAAAAGTCAAATCCAAGATGTTCCAGTAGGTTCAGACTATCAACTAAAGCCGTCAACTACAAAAATAGTATCTGAAGGCAGCCAGTTACGGAGTTTATTCGAGTTTGATTTTATTACAATTGTATCAACTCTCTTTCTGGAATTCAAAAAACAAGAATTGATAGGGCAATTATAACTGCAAGAATAAATCTCATGGCTTCTTTCTCTCCTCGGTATCTTAAAATTAATCACGTCTCTCCTGAATCTATAATCAAAAGCCATACAACATCAATGGCAATAACTCTGTTTGCAAGTGGAGAAAACGTATGTATCGTTGTGGTTGATGGGACGTATATATTCAAAAGAGTAGCAATTATTCATTTCAAAGGCAAACTTATTGTATACATAAGGAAAGAAATCTAATTAAACCGATGATGCTTGTGACAACCACAGGATATATTGTGGATGTATTAAGTCCATATGTTAGCGACAGTGAAAATAACAACGCTAGTATTCTTAACAGTATTCTAAAATCAGACTCGAATAAACTCCGTAACTGGTTGCCTTCAAATACTATTTTCATAGTTGACCGCGCTTTAGGGTAAGTCTGAACTTACTGAAAGAACTTGGATTTGACTTTTTCCAAGATGCTTCATTTTCATATTTTTTTAAGAGTATAAATTTTTACACTTGATTGTTCGAATTGAAATTTCAACTTGTAAATTCATATAAGATGCTATACTTGCATCTTATATATAAGAATATCCAGTTTACCTTCCCAGCTAATGTAGAAATTATATAAAGGCGAAATTATTTTTTGTAATATAATTTCTAAATATAATTTTGCGTTAATTAGTTAAATAAATAAGTGATACAATTATTATCGACACATCTTGATATTAGAATTATTTATTTTAACAAAACATGCTAGATCCATCCTTTCGCGTTCAGTCATTGTTTATTTCATTATGTACATGCTATATAGTATATGCTATTATATTAGCTCCTCCCATCAGTGTTGCAAACTCTGGCCGGCTAGCACCGGGTTAGGAGCCACTGGAAGCACGCATACAAGCGAAAATCGTCGTCCGTGTGCGTGACGTCACGCTCGGCACGTCAGCTTGTGGAAGAGTGCAGACGTATTATATTTCGTCTTCTTTCCACTTTAAGGAGGTTCCTTCGGGTTTTTGCGGGGTGCAAGGGGAAAGTCAAACTCGATTGCTCATTGGTGCTTTGCGGTTATTGCCAACTTAAGGTTTCTAAATTAATTATCTACAAATTATATAAATACAATAAAATATTAGTATAATCCAGTAAAAAACAATATTAAAAGGTGATTTTTATCAAAATAAAAAACTTCTATACCAAATTTCTTTATTTTTTTACGTTAAAAAGCAGTCGAAAAAGTCAGTAGAAAAGTGGCAACAGCGCTAATAAGAATGTGAATTATTCGTACTTTGGTACCTTTGTTAAAGAGCAGTGTCCGTAAATATAGTTTTTGGTTTAATAATAATACTGTTCTAAACTTTGTTTCATTAGCACCAATGTAATAAGAAAATTATATGTTTAAAGTTGAAAAGTTAATAAATGGTGAAGAAACATTTACCTATTACTTTTATGTAACATGTTGTATTACTTTATCCTTCATAATATGTAATCAAAAATGTGTAGTACATTTTTAAAAATACAAATTACAAAAGTATTAATTTAAAGATCATAAATTTTTCTAGAAAAAATTTTTAATAGTTTGTAAAATTGAACTTATTAAAGTTAATATTTCAATAATTATTAATAAAAATTCTCTGCACTTTAAGTTTTTCATTATTATTTCACTTATTTCAAATACCTTATTTATAAACAATTTTATTAATATTTTTACTGGACAGTATCCATATATAAAACATTCTAACCACAATAACTTACATCCTTTAGATAACAGCTGAGATTGCGACGTTGTCACGTTTCCTATGAAGCTCGCGTGGTCAAGTTCGGAAATGCTTACTTTTGTACTTTAAATGAATATTATTAATAAACTAGATGGTACAAACCTCTCATTTTTGATTTAATAGGTTTAGTAAGCTTTAAAGAATGTTTTTCTGCTTTATTATTTTTATCTCTATATTCAAATTTGAAATATTAAAGTAATATCGCAAGTTATGCATAGCTTTCCTATCATTACTGTATAAAAAATAGCAATATTTGCACCATTGTTTCTCGAAAACTAGATGGTAGAAAATTTTGAAAAAATTCAAGTGTGTAAGAATCGGCTTCTTAAATATACCCTCAAAATTTGAAGTCATTCTCTATATTCGCCAAAATCGAAGGAACCTCCTTAAGCCGGCTCAACAAGATAGAAGACGAGGCATGTTCACATTACGTTGCGCGCTTTTTGCGTATGACAACGTGAAACGCTTTTCCGAGATTAATAATCTTGGAAACAGTACATGATATTATTGATAATGATAAAATATCTTAAGATGCATAATATATTTGTATTAATCATTAATATGAGTGAACATGCGGTAAAACGTCTGCCGAAAAGTACAGAGGAGTGCACCGTATCGTTCCGCTCTAAGGAAAGTTTTTCTCTGAAATTTCTCTTCTGGCTGCTTCTACTACCGCGCGCTGTACTCTTTCGATCTTTGCCAGCGGCCCGAGATTGAAAGAAAACGGCGCGCGGTAGTAGAGACAGCCGGAGGAGAAATTTCCGAGAAATACTTCCCCTGGAGCGGAACGATATGATGCACTCCTCTGTATTAATTATGTAAATTATATTATTATTATATTATTATTAGTGTTTTTATATTTATAGATTTCTAGTTTGCAAACNAAAAGAATCAAAATTTTATAGATGCATAATCTTAAAGTATTAAATTCATAATATATCCCGGTAAAAAATTGTCCATGTATAAAATTGTACGAACATATTCGGCATATAAATTTGCACATAATTAGATATAATTATTAATATCGTTCCGCTCCAGGGGAAGTATTTCTCGGAAATTTCTCCTCCGGCTGTCCCTACTACCGCGCGCCGTTTTCTTTCAATCTCGGGCCGCTGGCAGAGATCGAAAGAGTACAGCGCGCGGTAGTAGAAGCAGCCAGAAGAGAGATTTCAGAGAAAAACTTTCCTTAGAGCGGAACGATACGGTGCACTCCTCTGTACTTTTCGACAGACGTTTTACCGCATGTTTACTCATATTAATAATTAATACAAATATATTATGCATCTTAAGATATTTTATCATTATCAATAATATCATGTACTGTTTCCAAGATTATTAATCTCGGAAAAGCGTTTCACGTTGTCATACGCAAAAAGCGCGCAACGTAACGTGAACATGCCTCGTCTTCTATCTTGTTGAGCCGGCTTGAAGTGGAAAGAAGACGAAACATAATACGTCTGCACTCTTCCACGAGCTGACGTGCCGAGCGTGACGTCACGCACACGGACGACGATTTTCGCTTGTATGCGTGCTTCCAGTGGCTCCCAACACCTCGGTGCTCTCGGTGCTAGCCGGCTAGAGTTTGCAACACTGTCTCCCATACTGTTGCTACAGATAACAACTGTGAGCGCACGAAGCACGCCGAGCTGTCTTACGTGCGTAAAGACAGCTCGATATATACTTTATTCGCGGATCTTTGTTAATTAAGATCTCGGTAATTATGAAAATCTCGCTAGATAAAGGACTTTTTGCCTCAGTATAATCCTTTCTATCTGCTTACAAACAATTGTACGGCTATTATCGGACACTCTATATATATATATATATATATACAGGATGAGTCACGCAATTGAGACGGATTCTATCTTGAAATTAGTACAAGATAGAAAAAAATTCTAAAGAGCAAAGTTGAATGGGATGATTCTGTCTATTTTTCTACGATTTCATTTTCTTTATAAGTGCAACAATGCACCTGAAAAATGCAAATGCACTTTTTTTTAAAATAGAAGTGCATATTTTTTTGTACTTATATCAATTCCTCAGGTCATTCTGCGTAAAAAAGTATTAGGGTATGATTGAAAAATCAATATTTCGTGAAATATTGCACAATTTTTATAAGTCGTTTACTTACTTCATAAAAGATGTTCGAACGTTCCACCTCTGCACTGTAAACACTTCATACATCGTTTCTTTATGTTTTTCATTACAGCATTAATGTGATCTGTTTATTTGAACAATGTAGTTTAATTCGTTCTTTTATAAATCTTCTACAGAAACAAATGGACGGGAATGCACTTTATCTTTGAGATAACCCCATAAGAAGAAGTCCAGAGGATTCAGATCTGGAGACCGTGCTGGCCATGGTGTTGTACTATGTGTTCCAAACCATCTATTAGAATAAGTTTGTCGTAGATAAGTGGTTACGATGCGTGCATTGTGTGCTGGTGCACCATCTTGTTGATAATATCTTAAATTCATTCGCGTTTGTAAGGGCAGATCATGAAGGATATCAGGAAGCACAAATTTTAAAAAATGTAGATATCTTTCACCATTTAATATCTGTGAAAAAATATGGACCAATAATAATAGTATCTAAAATACCACACCAAGCATTAATACTGAAACGTATTTGGTTATTCGTATTTCTTCGAAGTCGGTAGTTTTCTGTAGCCCATGTATGTTCATTATGCCTATTAAACATTCCATTATTTGTAAATGTACATTCATCATTCGTCTGTCCATAAAATTTTTCGAGAAAAATTTGGATCATTTTCTACTTTCCGTAAAAAACTTTGACAGAATCGCATTCGTCGAATTGCGTCTCCTAGATGTAAAGTATGTCCGATTGAAAAACGATACGCACGAAACTTTTGCATTTTTAAAATTCTTCGGACAAAACTTTGGCTAATGTTACATTCTTTCGCTATTTCTCTTGTTGAAGCTTGTGGATAAAACTCAACATAAGCTAGTATACATAATTTATTGTCATCATTATTTGTAACCGGTTTTACTGCACTTCTCGTAGGTTTCAAAAAAGCTCCATATTCACGTAAATTATGTTCAAGCTTGTAAAAGTATGTTTGCGTTGGTTGTACGCGATCAGGATACGTATTATTATAGTACATTCTTACAGCGTCCGTTAAATTTTTGTTGCACAGCACAAAACATATCAACTTTTTCACTATTAGTGAATGGTCCCATTTTCTGCGATAGTTTTCATATGAATTTCAACTCGTGTCGACAAACTGTCAGTAACTAAGTACATTTTGTTGATTATTTGAGTTTCTGTTCTCAGAAAGTCAAATGTTATATTATCTCTGTCCACATGTTTATGTTCGCAAATGTTTCCAACTTATTGTATAAAAATTGTGCAATATTTCACGAAATATTGATTTTTCAATTATGGTACTCTAATACTTTTTTACGCAGAACCTGAGGAATTGATATAAGTACAAATATATGCACTTCTATTTTAAAAAAAGTGCATTTGCATTTTTCAGGTGCATTGTTGCACTTATAAAAAAATGAAATCGTAAAAAAATAGACAGTATCATTCCATTCAACTTTGCTCTTTAGAATTTTTTTCTATCTTGTACTAATTTCGAGATAGAATTCGTCCCAATTGCGACTCACCCTGTATATATATACAGGGTGTCTGATAATGGCCGTATAACCGCTCGTAGGCAGGTAGAAGGGATTCTGAGTCGAAAAGTCCTGAACCATTTTTTTCTATTACATATGATAAAGGAGTAATTATTGGTCGGCGCTGATTGGCTTACTTTATTCAATAATTACTCCTTTATCATATGTAATAGAAAAAAATGGTTCAGGACTTTTCGACTCAGAATAATCTCTTCTACCTGCCTACGAGCGGTTATACGGTCATTATCAGACACCCTGTATATACAGTGTCTGAAAAATTTTGACACAGCTGAAGTGCAAAGGTAGATTAGATTAATATGAACCGAAAAGTCATGTACTATTTTGCAAAATTCACAATAATTATTGAGTGAATTATTAATACGTGTGATCCAATGAGCACGTGGGAAGCGATGGTCCGGACTCTGCAGACATGTATAACTTTCGGTCGTGAAAATTGGTTAATCGCAGGAAGCTGTATCACTTGCTTGTTTGCTCCGTTTCTTGCTGTTGAAAGATTGCATGGGGTGAATTATTTTTCTTTATAACTGAAAATTTTTTTTCACGCGCTCATTGAGTCAATGTATTAGATCGATGGTATTAAATAATCACTCAATAACTATTGAAAATTGTGTAAATTGGTACATAATTTTTCTCTTCAAATTGACCCAATCTATCTTCACACTTCGGCTATGTCAAAATTTTTCAGACACCCTGTATATGTAAATGACATGCATTACTTACTTTCATAATATTAGCGGCCGTAGCATCTTTCTTAGGGCCATCTAGGATCCAAGGACTTATAAAATCTTCATAAATTGTGCCGGATACAGTATTCAAACTGGCACTCATAGTCGCGAGCGCAGCGCTTACTAAACCAGCTAGGAATAATCCCGGGAGTCCTGGAAGATGTCCAGCAACATCCATCACGTAATATGGCAAAGTCTGATCAGTACGACTTATTGCCTATAAATGTAATAAATAATGACTATTACAGTGAAAATAGTTTGCCAAATATAGAATTTAATTCTAATAACTGAGTTTAAAAGTTTTGATTGATATTAAAATAACAGATTAATTACTTTTATTAAAACAATTTGTCAATTTATCAATATTTAGTTTTTCAGCTCTTGTGTTGAATTAGTACTTATTAAATTACGCAACATTGTTATCATTGATATTAGAAAATCGGCGAAAGCCTGGTTAATCTTCGAGACTAAATCACCTTGTTTAATTTTGTCAAATCATCTTTCACGAGTTAGTATGGACAGCATTCTTTTTAAGTACATTGCAAAACCATTCCAAGAGTAAAGGTTAGGTTTAAATACACAAATCAAAAATATTTTATTTTATAATACCTTGATTAAGAAAGGATCACAGTTGTAGTATTTAGCGTACATAATTAATCCAATAAACACGGAAAGTAATTTGACGACGATCATTCCTACTGCGGTAATTGCTATTCCGCTACAAAACAAGAAACGCATTTAAAACTGAAACATATTTGAAATAAGTAACGATAAAAAGATAAATCCGAGCTACATGCAGAATAGAAATGCGAAATAAATAACAAATATTAAAGTCACCTAAATGCTCGGAAAAAAAGCATATACGAATATATAGATAGAATGAACATGGTTATATGTATATCAATAATTATACAAAATTGAGACAATTTCATACATGATTATATAATTATATAACTAACCATATAAGATTACATAAATATACATAATCATAATTCTATAATTATACATGATTATATAATACATAACATATAAAGATACCTTTTCATGTACGCAGCATCCTGCGGCAATAAAGCATCACATCGTCACTCTCTACGTATAATCCCGTAACTCCAAAACGCAAATTTTAGAGGAGAGCAGTTTAAAAGTTTAAAGCTTTATATAGTTTCCCTAGTTAAGGGATCTTTCGGTTTTAAATTTTTACCATACTTATAAATATTTTTTTTTAATACTTGGTGACCACAAAGAACATGACTTTCCGAGTGTCACTATGCAATAAACTGAAAATCCCATATGTGACACTTATGTAATTATACGTAGGGAGTGACGACATGACTCAAATTGTCTAGAACTGCTTCCGCTATTATATCTCATTTGATACCATTCTCTGCGTTATGTTGGAATTTATGATGGAATTTTATATGCAATAATACTACACAAAATTCCATCAACTTAACGCAGAAAATGGCATCGAATTAAGTATAGTAGCGGAAGCAGTTCTGAAAAATTTGAGTTACGTGAAACGCTTGCTGCCGCAGCGTGCTGCGTATGTGAAAAGGTACCTTAATACACATAATTATATATTATAATATATATCCCAGATAACTAAGATTGAATGAGCATGTTTTGCAAAGTCTGCAATAATACATTATGCCAGTAGAATGCAGCCAGAATTTAAACATACCCAGACGGCACAATGATGTATTTAAGATGTCTTGAAGATATTTCACAGAGACTTTGAATGTGCAAAAGATATCTCGTTGAGACATTTTCGAACGAGTAATGATGTTCAAATAATATCTCAGGGATATGCCTGAGACTGCTAAT